GCTTACGTTTTACGTCCTTACGGAATTTTATGTGTGAAGGCCTTAACCATACTGGAAGGAGCACTCCATTGTTGTCGTGCGGTCAGAGCTGTGCGAGAGGGATAGTTGAGTGGCGACCGTGCTAGTCTTGTCTAACTAACTACAGCGATCATCGCTGTAGTTAGTTAGACAAGAATAGCACGGTCGCCACTCAACTATCTCTCTCTGCTCTGCCGAAAATGGTCGATTAAAACCGATTAAGACAAAAAGTAATCCAAATTGATCGGGATTTCTGCACCGAAAATACGGTATTAAAACCGATTGAAAATATATAATTCTGGCGGATTCCCAGTGAGAAATGATTCGTCGATCGATGTCGAAACGATGTCGAATCGATGTCAATTTGACGGTATCGATGTCGATTCGACATCATTTTGACATCGATCGACGAATCATTTCTCACTGGGTTAATGTTGGGTTATATGTATATACATCCACCTCAATCCGATATTATACGATTTCATCAAATCGGTTTTAATGCGATGTGAATTTGTCGAAAACCGACAAAAATAATCCGTTACAATTGGAAATTCGACGATTTTGCAGATTACATCGCAATACACAATTAAAAAAGTGTTAAATGTCTTGCTTATATTTCATGTAAACTTTATTTTACTTTAATTATCACATTCTACAAGAATACTATCGTGTAATATATTTTATTACGATATCAATACTGCTTGGTTGAGTTACCTTTAACATATTAATTTTAGAACCTTAAAATAAACTTATATTATAACAAAACGTAATTAAACTTATGATAAATGGACAGTTTATATATATAACTGAATGGTATCAAACTTTCAAGTAATACAAACAATATTAAAATTGGAAATGAAATAAACACATGTCCGAAATCAGTGAATTTTGCATTAAATCGGATTACAATCAATTCAATTACTAAAAATTGGATATTTATTATAATGAATTAAAATTGCATATTAGATGGATTATTTTGGATTATATATCCATCCGATTATTTGTGTTTATTTGGATTGACAACATTAGGTTTTAGAATGTAATGATTTCGGATTAGAAATAATCCGCGAAAGCGATATTAAAACTGATTGTAATTTGTTCCGAATTAAAATCGATTACTTTTTAATCTGGGCGCGGATTGAACCGATTAAAACCGATTAAAATGGATTAAAACAGATTAAAACGTAATCCGTTTTAATCGACCATTTTCGGCAGGGTGACCGCTCGATCCTATGGAGGGGGTAGGCAGTGCTCCTTCCAGTATGGTTATAGTTCAATGTCATAGTCAGATCCAGGGTTGGGCACGTAAAATGCTCAATGCACTGATCTCAATATAACACTGGATAGTGAATGCTGTGGGAAAAGTGTGTTACGATTTGAAGACCCCGACAACCATCTTTGATACAGTAAAACATGCACGTTTAGGCGGTAAATTCAAATACAGTAAACCCTCGTTAACACGAACTCGAAGGGACCGCAATTTGAGTTCGTGTTAACCAAGTGTTCGTGTTAACGAGGAAATCTGGCCCCTCGTTAACACGAATTTGTTCGTGTTAACGAGGTCAACTAAATTTAGTAGATTGTGTTGCATATGATATATTCATTATTATTTATATAGTTATTTAAGAAAAACATCTTTTACATTTAAAATTAAAAATAAATATAAAGAATTGAATTACATTATACTATTTACGCTGATCTGTC